CACAAAAGCCAGGGGCTCACTTTACCTAAGGCCTATATATCTCTTGGAGAAAGAGAATTTAGTGCAGGCCTTTCTTTTGTGGTGGTGTCTCGTGTTCGTGCCCTTAGCGATCTACTTTTCAGACCGTTCAATTTTGACAGGCTAAGTCGCATTAAAACTTGTAAACGTTTGCAAGAGAGGAAAACTGAAGAAAGACGATTACTTTCCCTCATATCTAGAAATTAATAGATCAACGAACATAAATAAAATATACATGTATAATAAAATTTTTACAGTAATAACGATAATAAATAAAAGGTAAAAAAAAAAAAAAATGTCAATCGGCGATTTGTATAATATGATCGTGATAATAGATAAAAGGTAAAATGTCGATCGCCGATTTGCTGATTATTTGCATAATAAGTAACGTGTCACGATAAAAGTGGATCGTATAAAGCCAAGTGGTAATTTATGTGCCTCACGTGACTTATACTTTACAAATTTATTATTAATCAACTTAAGAACTACTTGGTTTAGATGATCCCTATAAAAGGCAAGTTGTTTTTTTTTATACAATGGTACGGAATGAATCACGCGACACGCGTGCGGACAGACATGAATTTTCTAAGTTACGTTTTTGATTCAATGACTTAAATTATTATAGAATATAAATCAAAAACGTAACTATTGATGCATCAAAAACGTAACTTTCGTATCACCATGACTAAACACTAAAAGTCCTCCGCTACGCTCCGGACAATAATTTTGGCCGGAATTAATTTTTTAATTCCAACGGTAAAATTACCCCTAGAATATTTTTCATTTAATGGACGGCCGCAATTTCATTAGCAAAATTTTGAGTAATTTTGGCCTAAATAAATCTTTGATCGTTGCCGTTGGCTAATATTTTTTGTACGGCACCCAAGTTTAATGTTGCTGGAACAACCAGATAAATTTTACTAATTTAAATGGCTATGTTTTATTATTTATTGTTTATGTATAATCATTGTTTAAACGGATGATCGGATAATTC